CCACTTTGTCTATATATATATATATATTTTTTAGGCAATTATGTCTATGTTCCCTCATATGCAAAGATGATCTTCTAGCCTAAAGTAGATATAACTAATACAATTAAATACTCGTAATACACACCTAAACAATAAATGAGCATTGATTTTTTTGTTGTTGTTGATAATATATGAGTGTTGATTGATGTCTAATAGATTGTACCAATTTTCAATCGACATGATTGATGGCTTAAAATACAATAAAAATATCGTGAGATTCATAATAATACGTAATCATGATAATCGATACTAATATTATGTTGAGATTGTACACATTTCAACATAAGTGATTGATGGCTTGATTGTCGCAAAAGAGCGAAGTAGCGCGCACCTGGTTGAGACCCCTAAATCAGTGAGAAGGAATTGAAGCCAGAACACCTCGCTAACTGTAAATTCCATTAGCTTCAATACTATGGTTTTTTGTTAAAGATCGGGGATACAACATGATGCTTCTTCATTCCCGGGGTAGGCAGGACCCCCAATGCCCCTGCCTACCGCCTTCTTGAACCTTGCTAAATACATAACGAGCTACACGCCCAAATAACCACTCTGTACCACCCTATTAAGAACTTCATTAGACGAGTTATCAAAGTACGCATGCCACCACATAATAGCCCTTCATAACCTCAAGTCGAACGATCGATAAAAATTTTCGATGATCACCGGAGAGCACACTTACGAGACGATCGTATAATCGGTGAAAAAGTGCGGTCACGCACGTGCATGCGCCTTTAACTCTCTGTAATCATCTGGAGTACACCAGTCTCAATTGTATAATTCACATCAAAATATGTGACATTGTATGATCTCTGTTAATAATGAGTGCAACTTGAAAAACAACTTTACCACATTATCATATGGCTTTGGGGCACAACAACAGTGACAGTCGGGAGTTCGACACACACACATATACATATACACTTTGGGTGGTCACCTTACCTTACCTCTCTATCCAACAAAATAACGGCAAAACGGAGGAACCCAACAAATCATAGCGTCATTGAAGCTGTCCAAAAGCAAGCAAGAAAGCTAAAGAGATGGAGATCAAAACAAAACCGATGTAATGGGACCTTTGGCATCACCGGCCCATGCCTTTTTCAAAAAGACGAAACGGCTGTTTTCTTCTAGAACCTTTTCTTTTCTTGTCTTTTCTTTCCATTTTCACATACTCTTATTATTATCTGGGATTTGTAATGTATAAAATAAAGGGATGACAGGCGACATTATCACGGCAACTTGAGCTGGATCCGGCCAATGCCAACAGAGACTAGAGATGAAGCTAAGTGCTTTTCTTTCCTCTTGGTCCCATCCTTCGTAAACGGCTTTGTTTGATTTCCAATCCTTTCCCACTTTCCCTTCGTTTGGACGCATCTTTACTATATGCGGAGAAAGCAACCGCAGCGGATCCATAATAACCGCAGCGGATCCATAATAGGGTAGAGTATTGGGTCATATCAATTAAAAAAAAAAAGAAGCGAAAAGTACTGGACCGTAACCCGACAAAACACTGAAACAAATACCGGAAAAATCGCAAATTTACAAGAATATACTAGCTCTGGATCCAGGGGGACGGCTGGGACGTGGCTCGGGGGCGGCCCCTCTAGTTCCGCCGCTGCGCAGCAACCATCAAAAGCCAAATAGAAGAAGAAGAAAAAAATTCAGCATTAAGTCTGTGAATTTTTACCGTAACGTTATAGGTATATAACTTTTATTTGTACTATAAAGAATTCTTTCTGTAAACCAAAGCATCGATATCATAGGGTACTGTAAAATTCCCTCTATTCGGATGCTTGAAAACAATCAAAATTATGGCGAAAAGATTCGGGCGGAGGTATATTTAATTTCCTAAAAGCCATCACATTCTTGAGAGTTTAAATTCATTATCTTTGGCATGTCCAAGTTAATTAAATGAATCAATCACTGCAAGTCTGCTGATCAAATAGAAGCTAATTATTGTGGCTCGAAGAGATGCAAATACAAGACCTTTTTTAAAAAAATAGAAAGCTCCAACGCCATGTTAAGAATAAATCGGTCTCAATAATTAATTATCCGTATTAGAGGGTCATATTTTTCAAATTAGAAACAGTAAGATGACCAGAAGTGGGGGGGATGAAGTGATAATTCCATGTGCAACAATATGATGTCGACGTAAAACAGCAAAATCTATGGTTAGCATTCCTTGTAGAAGAAGGGTGATAGATCCACAACATATATCCGACACATGGGACATGGTCCCCTAGTTAGCTGTACCTCCCCACAGTGGATTATTTAGCTCATGGATTATTTTGATTCCTTATACGAAAGCCGTAGTTTTGCTCAAGCGGATTCATAATTTTTTTCCTGTGTCTTAATATGCAGGGACTCGGACGGTCGTGTACATTTTTACTAGACTTAGTTTTGTTGTAGCTTAAAGAGTGAAAGCCCATATTGTATCTCGACGGTTCAGTAATTTTCTTTTAAACTTTTCTTTTGGTTTTTAATTTTTATTATACTAATAATAATAGCTATAATTTTCTTTTAAACTTTTCTCTTGGTTTTTAATTTTTATTATACTAATAATAATAGCTATAATATTGGTGATGATAACAACGACAATAATAACAGCAAAAAAAATGGCGTTGGGCGCCGGATGCATCAATGCATCACCAATAATCCAATAAACAACAAAATCACATCACAACCGATTAATCAATCGAGTTTAATGCAGACTAATAAAAGAGCGAAACGATGAAATGAACCAACAGTGTACAGGTAATATTTTTTTTGACAGTGAAGTGTACAGGTAAGGTAATAATAATTCTCGAAATGGTCTCAACTCTCAACTCATTATTTAGAACTTTCAAGCTGCAGTCGATGAATTTAAACCAGACAAATTTTCAACGATCACAATATATATATGGGATTCGTCAAAAAAAAAAAAAACAATATATATATGGGTCCATACCTTCAAATTCACGACCCCATATCATAATTCAAATGGTTCAACTGAACATTTTCACTGTATGTTTGTGTCAATAACCAATCGACCTCAATACTTTGAGTTGTTGGAAAAGATTCAATTATGAATCATATTTCATTTACTAAAGCACCTCATCAAACGAAAAATCACTCATGTAGGCTAGAAGTTTACACATATCCGGATATTCATATGCTTAACAGAACAGATGAGAGGTCATTGAAATTCGAACAAAAATACACTTATGTTAACAAAGACTCTGATAACATGTGAATAATCAGTTGATCCCAATAACTCGAACAGTTACTACTCGTAGTAGTACAGTCTGTTAGTGCCAGATTGGAAGGACCATATAGATGTGAAAGTTTGGCGTACGTAATTGATAATTGATTGGAAGACACGGCGGCAGAACCCATTGATGTATTCGCTGAAGAAACAGGACGGAATTGCATGAATTCAGGTTTTTGGATAAAACCTTCAGTTCTCATCGGAATCCAGACAGATAGGAAGCAATAATTAAAAAAAAAAAAATTCGAAAAAAAGAAGGTGGGACCCACCGCCATCACAGCCAATTGGATACTGATAAATCGAAATCGACTCATTTATTTTTCTATTATGGATGGTCTTATAGTTATCTATCGGCCAACAAATTGATATGATGACAGTGAAATGCAAACTTATCCGACTCCTCACATATCCGCCGTGGCCCTCATCTTTTGGCGCATTTGTGTGAACTAAATCAGCTTTATGAAGTTTATCTCATCAATTTACGAACCAAGAGAACTCGGTTTAGAGTCTTGTTAGATACGATCAAAGGATGGATCAATTTTTCTTACAGTCGCAATTAGTGGTGGGACTGCATACGAAGATAAAGATGGGGTCAATTCTTGAAGTGGCGGTTTGGTATCTGATTTTCGGTTTTAATGATAATTAAGTCGATTTTATATGTTTATTGGGTTCTCTGAAAGGGTAAAAAACCGAAAAACTCTTTAACAATATCAATTTCAGTTTAAAATCGAAAAAATGTCAATAAGTCGATTAAAACATATACGCCTTAAAGCAATTTGATAAGGGCTTACTAGTTTCACAATCACGTTGCATAAACCGATCAGTCAGAACTGCTCGATTAGCGCGTAGGCTTCGGGATCTTGGGAATCAGCACAACAATAGTTTCATTGACCCCACTTATTCTGCTCGGGTCAGACCAGCAACTTTGGATGAACTCCATCACTCTCGGACCTTTGAAGGCTGCCATGAGGATTTCCGCCTAAACTTCCTCTTATGTATGTATAAAGACCTTCAAAGTGTGCACGTGCCAGATGCATCAGCTGCTCCTGCTCCTCTATCCACGTCTCGATCAGCTCTCTTCAAGGCAGTGATTCTATTACGTTTTTCGGCGTCGGATTGTTCGGGCATGGAAATATTTGGTATTACGATCCCCGGAGACTATCCATTCCAACCTCGCCTTTTGGCACCAAAGTAGATTCTCTAGTAACAAAACTTCCTCCAATTCTTGTCGAAGTTTTTGAAGAGCTTCACGATCCAAGTTTCCCCATTCACTTCCTCCATCATCTCAATCCGATTTAACAAGGTATTCTTCTTCAAATATGTGACCAAAGGTTTCCTTACGCCACCTCCCCGCTTCACGTGCGAACTACATAGGGGTGGGCATCCGGTTCGGGTTTGACTCTCCGAACCGAATTTGACCGAACCGAAACCGACCGAAACTGAAATTTAAGTTATTAGGTTCGGAATTCGGAAAGAGAAAAACCATATTTCGGAAACCAAGGTCACACAACCGAACCCGATTTCCGAACAGCCGAACCGAAAAACCGAAATTACAAAATTAATCAACAACATTTTAGCCCATAGACCCACACAGCCCAAAACCCACTCCCCCATTGACCACAATCCACTCTCGGCTCTCCCCAGCCCAAACCTCACAAAACCCTAAGTCCAGCCCTTTTATGCCTCAATCCACTCTCGGCTCTACCCAGCCCAGACCTCACAAAACCCTAAGTCCAGCCCATAGACCCACACAGCCCAAAACCCACTCCCCCAAAACCCACAATCCACTCTCGGCTCTCAACGCCAACCTAAACCTCCCACCCTTTACCCTTATCCCTATCCCACAGCCACCGCCCACCGCGCCGCCACCTGCTCTCCAGCAGCCACCACAGACCATGCACTCTCTTCTCCGCCGTGACAAATTCCTTCTCCACCTAAAATCGAAAACAGAGAAGATCTATTGAAGCTCGACGGAGAAAAGCAAACCCCAAAAAAGTTCATGCATGTTTAGATCTGACCCATACTCACCTCTAACCTTCGTCGTCGGTCATCACCATCGCCGACATCCACCGCCGTTGCCTTCAGCGTCGTGCATCGCGGTTGCCGCCAGCGTCGTGCATCGCCGTTGCCGCCAACGTCGTGCATCGCCGTTGCCGCCAGCGTCGTGCATCGCCGTTGCCGCCAGCGTCGTGCATCGCCTTGCTGCCTACCGTTGTCAATCGCTGAGTTGTGCTTTACTTTGAGGCTTGAGCTTCACTCGCCGTCGTCGCTGCGTTTGGGTAGATCGTTGTCGTCAATCGTTGTTTGGGTAGAGAGAAAGAGAGGGATTGGGCAGAGGGAAAGAGAGAGGGAGATGGAGAGAGAGAGGACCAGAGTGGGGGAAAAGTTTCAGATGAAAAAGTGGGTGGATGGCTGGATGCATTTTTCATATAAATGTCCGGTTTGGTCGGGATCCCGAACCGAACCGGAATATAATCCGGTTCGGACAATCCGAACCGAATTATATTTCGGTTCGAGTTCGGTTTCAAGTTTGAAGTATGTGGAAGACCCGGTATCCATCTTTTCGGTTCGATTTGAACCGAACCGAACCGATGCCCACCCCTAGAACTACCTAATAGAGCTTTGGAGGTCCGAGCCTCTCGCCCAAGCTGTGGCTGCCATATCACTGAGATTTAATTCTGACTAGAGATCAAGCATAAACTCTAGCCGGTGGCAATATAGGGCAAGTATGTTTTAATTGTCAAACCCGGACCGGTCCATGTACCCCTACTTTAATCGTTTAGGTTGTTATCTAGCAAACAGTTTTGGTTTAAAACTAAGAAAACTACAAATGAAAACATGCAAGTAAAGTAAATCGAGGTTGTCCCAATGAGAGAAAAGTTCACCCGGGTATTGCTCCCCCTACCTACATATCAAGATCGCCCAAATCGAATGTAAATGTGTGGAGGTGTGTTAATACACCGTAGGAAGGCACAACGAGTGAAGGAAACCTCACTCTCTTAATTAATCGGTTAAGGAAACAACTAAGCTAGGAACCCTAACTCTCTCAATCAATGGATTAAGGATTGCTACAATAAGCTTGGAGTCCTAGCTCTCTTAACCGATCAACTAAGAGTTGCAAGAACCAATCCCTCGGAACTTAATCCGGATGGCAAAATAACATCCAAATTAAAGTGCTAAATCGAAGATTGAGGTTTGCCCTATATCGCCCTAGGTAGGTGGCTCAATTGGCCAAGGAATCCAGCTTATCAAAGCCTCCTAACAAAAATAGGAATTCCCTCTACCTAGGTCAAATTACCATAGTAATAAGAAATGAAGAACACGACCCAAACATCATGAAAATACCTCAAAATTTGTATTAAATACAAACCCACATACAAAGCATTCAATTAATACAATCTATCACATATTTCAAGCTAGGGTTCACAACACCCAAGTGAATATGTAGGCTATTCCATAGCTAGGCAAAGGAAAACAAGAAAAAGGAAAGAAAGAGCCATGAAGAGATGACAAACTTCCTTCCTCCTTGCTTGAATCTCCCTTGAGTGGTAAGATTCTTCACTCCTCTAGTTTAGGGCAAGCCCAATCTCCTTCTTCCTATTTTGAATGACACTTTCTCTCTCTATAATAGAAAGAGGAAACCTTAATCTCTCACTATAAACCCTCCTTTATTTTGAAACTAAAACTCTACCAAAAGCCCTATACTCCTTCAACTAAACTCCCCTTTTATACCAAGGTCAGGCTCAAATCACGGTCCCAGTTCACGACTGTGAACTCAAGGCGGGGACCGTGATCTCGGGCTAAAACGCGTCGCTTTAGCAAGTCACTTCACGGTCTGGGGCCGGAGTTCACGGTCTTACGACCGTGAACTGGTTTGAGTAAAGTGAAACTGAAAATGGCTTCGGACCCTCCACACTTCACGGTCTCAGGGCAATTGTCACGGTCGCCTTTGGACTTTTCTTCGGTTTTTGCGCTTTTCGACCTCCAATCGACACGAAACTCGTCCTCGACCTTCCCACACGTGTTAGGACCTGAAATGTAACAAAACAAGCACAACCTAGCGTAAAATAGGTCGAGAAACGATGAAATGCAAACTCAAACTATCAAGAAATGAGGGGTAAAATGTGTGCATTTAAACCTGAATCAATCACTAAAACCCTCGTGGGTGAGCCAGGCTACGAGAAACTTGAACGACTTGGGGACAGCCGGTTGAAAATGAGGGTTAACCTTGATTAGGATGGGTTTGATGGTCTGACTTTGCCCGGGGGAGATGTTGCACAATGGTGTACGGGAACGCCGCAACCCAAAGGTAATTTGCAAGCCCCCTATCTAGTCTTTCCCTTACTCCAGTCCGGAACCAAGTGAATAGCGGTTCCGTATGCCCAAAATCTGTCAACTCTGCACCCATGACACAATCCTGAAAGTCCTGAATCTGACTAGCATCAAAACCAGCTCCTCCCAACTTCTCTGAGGCCTGCAGTAGAGCTAGGGCTGGAAGTTTGGTACCGGTATTTGGGATATACCGAATACCGTACCGAATTTGTCTATATTTGGTATTACCGAATACACGTATTATTTCTTGGGATTGGGATTGTGATTAAATTTCAATTATAATTTGGTATTTGTGATTACGGGATTGTGATCGGTATATACCGAAATACCGATCAATACCGAAATATAAGATGATGTGTATTTTATCCTCTCAACTAGACTCTCTCATTCACTACTACACAACCCTCAACCACCAAGAGTGTCATTTAATTATACATAGATCATTTCATCTGTGTTTCACAACTCAAAAGTCCACATCAACTCAATTTTGACTTTCCAATTTAAGTCACTCTCATCTCTCACATAATAACTTGTTATTTTCATAACACCAAAAAGCAAACACTAGTATTAGTCGACTCTCAGCTTCCAATTCGTCAAATTAAAGATTACCAATGACAAGAACTTGAGGTGTGACCTCTCCTTCATTCTCCTTATCCATATCATAGCTCTAGGAAAACTCAAGACTCTTTGCTTAGTCTCTTTGCTCTAAATTAAACAATCAAATCTAGTTTATATATTTAATTATTTATTTCAAATATAATTAATTTGTATTCGATAATATCGATGGGATACCGAAATACCGATTGGGATACCAGAATATTTAGGGATTGGGATTGGGATACCAAAATTATTTAGGGATTGGGATTGAGATTGACTTTCCGGTATAATTCGATATTCGAGATTGAGATACCGATACCGTACCGATTTCCACCCTAAGTAGAGGGTTAAAATCCCTGGCCAAAAGCCATGGAATTGATTGGTTGGCCGCAATACTCCTTATTGAATCCCATAATTCCCTACGCATGATTAGCATTGGGTTACCGTAGATCGCCGTGAAACTCCAACACTTGTCACCATACTGAACATTCACATGAAAAAAAAAAAAATTCAACTACACCCTCGTTAATTTCGAGAAAAAAAAATTTCATTGAAAATCCATCTTCTTCCAACCATTTGGAAATAGAATGAGATTTGGTTCCATTGTAAAAATAAGTTGTCACTTAGCCCTCATAATGGTATTTGAAGTCGCCCAGAAATGGAGGGTTTAGGAGAAATTATGTATATTAGATTAATATATTGAGGAGGGTTAGACGTGTATAATCTTTGGATTGACAATTGTAGAAGTAATTTAGTTAATAAATGAAAATAATTATTTCATTCTATTATAATTAGTAAAATACTTGTGAAATTTATTTGAAAATTCCATCTCAATTTTTTGAAATTGCTATAACTGGTTTCAATTTCGCAAAATTCAAAATTTAGAATTGAAAATAATTTTTAAAAAATACCAAATAGAAAAAGATTTTATTTTAAAATGATTTCCTCAAGGCTTAGGGTGCATTTGGATATGTATATTTCAAATGTAAGGTATTTGAAATACATGTAACAAATTCATTGGTTGGATACTCATTTGTGATACATTTGCATTTAAGATTTTATAATTTTTTATTTGAATTTTGAATTTTCTGGCCACTTACTTAAATTTTTGGTAAATTACATTTTGGGGTCCCAATGTATTTTTTCTTATAGTTTAGTACCTAAACTTCTAAAATTTTACAAAAAAGTTTAGAAATTTTGGCAGTAAAATAACATTTTGGTACCTTTATATGTTTTGCCCCACGCTATAGTACCTAAACTTTTAAAATTTTACAAATAAGTCCAATCTTTTGTTAGGAGGAATTTCAAATGACTAGTTGTTTGAATGTATTTGAAGTTGACAAGCAATACACTACACATGTGTTTGGAAATCACTCCATGAATTTGGCACAAATTCAAATACCAAATGTAATTAATATAAAAAAAAATGATTTGGCATTCAGAAATCCAAATCACAAATACTAAATCCAAATCCTTCTATCCAAACACACTCATATAAAATTCATTTATACCAAACCGTATATAAGTGAATGAATTAGATTAGATTGGTGGATTGCCTTTCCAATATTGTAACAGGGAATAAAATGGGACACAAAAATATTGGCACCGAAGGTCGGCAACGACATTGATCAACCGCCAACACCAAGCTATCATCGATAAGTTTATAGACGTTTCTACAACTCACCTTCACACATTCATTCGACCATAATAATAAATAAATAAATAAATAAATGCATATGTATTCTTCTTAGATTATTTTAATATATCATTATAGACATTGATAACCGAAAACTGCTTGAGAGTGATTAAGGACACTTGGCAATCGACAATAGATGCTGTGCACAACCAATCATCGACGACGATTAGATCTATGCATCTTCTTAAACCTTTAATTTTAATCATTCATATTAATTAAATGGATATAGACTAAATTTGCAACTAATACACAATTATTGTCGAATGTGTGACCAGAATTATCCTATGGGCATTCATTGTCATTGGTACTTTACAGCGTTCCACGTAAATCAATTATTCCGGACAATTTTGTATCCAATCCAATCCAATACACTCACCAATATTCAATTATTAATTCATTCCATTTAAATTCAAATTCAATTGTATTGGTGGATTTATAGATTGAATTCATAGATAGTTGAAAAATTACAGATAGTACTTTTATATGCATATTTTGCAATTTGATATCTAAATTTTTATTAAAAACATCATTGCGAATTCACTAAATTTTTATTTTCCAGTCCGCCAATCCATGAATTCACTAATACATGGATCTACCAATCCAATCTATCGATCCAGGAAATAATTCACATTATTTAAAATAATTAAGCCATTATTCAAAATTAATTATAGAATAAAACATTAGAAAAATAGGTTTCACGGCGTGCGGAACACAAACTAGTTATCACAAAACATAGAACTCCAAAAAGACACCATGCCTAGGTTATATCAACTATGCGTTGTCATAATGTTCTTTTGCTAAGCACGTTTAGTTTTTTCTACTCATAAGCAAAAAAATGACTGATAATGAAAGCAAAGGGAAGAGAAGACTTTCGAAGTTTGGACGTAATTATTACTCATTTATTAACATTAGAAGAGGGGAATACAAAGGAGTCACAATACTAAACGAAATATATAAACATTGATTGTCTTCTATGAGCAAAATAGAGACGTCAGGTCCAGGACACATACAATAAGCACAACAGGATGCATGTATATTGCGTCTCTTTTACAGAAATTAACACGCCTGCCCGATTTAATATTCGTAATTGAATTCCAAAAGCGAAAACAACCCTTTAAAAAAAAAAAATACTAAAATTTAAAACAGAAACGTGTTGTAGAATGTTCTGCATAATTAACATTATTTTATCAAGATATCATCCGCTTTGAATTTATTTTTGTATAGTTTTTTTTTTCTGCGCATCATTGTAATTTTTTAAAAGACCACTTATTTTATACTGTTCCATGATCACTATTTTTTTTTTTACGGTTCCACTACTAGTACGTTTAATTTCTGAGTTCTTATAAAAAATTATTCTTTTCACCTCAAAAAAATGTCTTGTCAATTAAAATTAAATTATTCTTCATAGGTCATAAATCTCTCTCATAACTATCATAACTATTATTCCTTTAATTACAACAATATGTATTACCAGCCTATTTATATTACATTTTTGTTGAAAAGCTTCGTACATTATTCATATCTACTGATTTCCCCCCTAAGAATTTAAGAATATTGTTAAATTGACGGGGGTGATATTTTAAAATTTATAATTATATATCTAATTATCAAAATGTAACAGAAATACGGTTAGCATATGGAGTGACTAAGGGAAGGAAAACGCCGAAACGGCAACGCATAGCTATAGCCCATGCAAAATGCCATATTTGATACATTACCCCATGTGCTCCCCGGTCCCGTCTCTCATTTCTCATCCCATTTGTCGCGTTTTGATTGGCTCTCTCTCTCTCTCTCCGCTTCGTTAAAAAAATAAAAAACAAAAAAATCGATCACCGCATCCACCGATAAATATCCGAACTGCAAACGCTCTTCCCTATCAGCAGCTTCCAAAATCCCCCAAAATTATCCATTCCAGAATTCCCGATTTCTCTCTTTCTCTCTACACAAACCAATTCCCACAATCCCACTTTCAATCTCCACTAATTTCTTCCAATTCATAACAATCATGACCTTCGAAGAGCTAATCCCGGGCCTGCCGGAGGAGATAGCCATGGAGTGTCTGATCCGATTGCACTTCACAGCCCACGGCGTCGCCTCCGGGGTCTGCCGCCGGTGGCGCCAGCTGGTCCGGAGCAGGGAGTTTTACTACCACAGGAAACAAACGGGTCATACCCGGAAAGCGGCCTGCCTAATTCAGGCCCTGCAGGCCCCGGAATCGGAACCGTCGGGCGACAAACCGGTCGGGCCGGCGAGGTACGGGGTTTCGATGTTCGAACCCGTCAGCGGGTCGTGGGAGCGGGTCGACCCGGTACCCGATTACGCCGACGGGCTGCCCCTGTTCTGCCAGGTGACGAGCTCGGAAGGCAAGCTGGTGGTGATGGGCGGGTGGGACCCGGCCGATTACCACCCGGTCAGCCACGTGTTCGTGTACGAGTTCACGACCCGGAGCTGGAGGCGCGGGCGGAGCATGCCGGGCGCCCGGTCGTTCTTCGCCGCGGGCGAGTTCGACGGGAAGGTGGTCGTCGCCGGCGGGCACGACGAGAACAAGAACGCGCTGAAAACCGCGTGGGTGTACGACGTGAAGGGGGACGAGTGGACGGAGCTGCCGGCGATGAGCCAGGAGAGGGACGAGTGCGAGGGGGCGGTGGTCGGGTCGGAGTTCTGGGTCGTGGGCGGGTACCGCACCGAGAGCCAGGGGGAATTCGAGGACAGCGCCGAGGCGATCGACCTCGGCGGCGCGTCGGAGTGGAGGCGCGTGGAGGGGGTGTGGAAGGCCGGGCAGTGCCCGAGGTCGTGCCTCGGGGTGTCGACGGCGGCGAAGGGCGCGGCGCTGTTCAACTGGGCGGAGATGGGCGGCGGAGCGGTGAAAGTGGGGGCCTGTGGGGTCCAGCTGGGGAGCGGAATGACGCTTGTGTCCGGGTCAGCGTATCAAGGAGGGCCGCAGGGGTTCTATGCGGTGAAAGGGCAGAATGGTAAATTGAACAAGCTGAGTGTGCCGCTCGAGTTTGCCGGGTTTGTGCAATCCGGATGCTCCGCCGAAGTTTGATGGGGAAAAAGTGGTTTTGTCCTGTTTGGATGGAGTGGAAGTGGGCCGTATTGTATTATATTGTTTTTGGGCCTCTCAGAGTCAGACTACTCTGCCTTTTCCCCCTTTCTTGGGCTTCTTTTTTATCACCGTTCCAAGTTTTTGGTAATGTTATCGTTCGGGAGCCCGGATCTTTTTCGAAAATATCAGACTTACTAAAAATAATTCTCATAGTACCATACTTCTACTACACTGCAAAATAATTCTGACAGTACTCTACTTCTACTATTTTTTTTTTTCCAAAATAAAAAGTTTGGGTGATTCATTGCACTGCTCAGCAATTTTGCAAAGCATATCACATTAAAATCCTCTGAAATAATTACTATGGTAATTACCAAACAAATTAAACCTAAATTTTATTAACCATAGTATAAAATATCATGATCGAACCGATCAAAATAATACAACAATCAAATTAACCAAACTAAAATTTAATATGTTTGATTAATTGGTTACTCGTGTTAGCAAATGTATCATTTATTCTCATTACCCGATAATTTTTGTTGTTGTTAAGAATGCATCAATCTGTATTTTCTATAATGCATAAAAATATAGTTAACTCTTAACATAATTTTTTTTTTCCTAATTAAAGCGGGGTTGAAAACTAAGCAAGGAAGGTTACATCAAACCAAACATTGAAATACCATGTAGGAGAATGTACTGGAAAAGTCAGCGGTAGAGTATTTTATACTAAAACCGTGGCTTAACCATGGTTCAATCATTTACCAGTTTAACCTCCGGTAGGAGATTTTCCTGGTCGAACCGCCAGTACGGTACGGTATTTCAATCTTTGCATCAAACATACAAGGCTACTGCCTCACATTTGCCTTAGACACCCAGAAGAAAAGGAAAACGAAAACAGAGCTAGGGAAAGAGAGGGTTCAGGAATCAATTCTTCCATGAAGGCACGACAAGAAGTTCAGGCTACTATCAAGAGCTCCAATCCATCACCCATCCGGGGAAGCTGACACCCATAATGTCATTTCTAATAATCTTATCTATCTATGAGGAAGGATCCTCTAGTTCATATATTCCAATGGGATAAACAAGATTGTACTTCGAGAGCCAATCCGCGACTCTATTCGGGGATAACTCCAGAACCATTGCCGAGTCGGATTCAACAATGAGGAACTGCGTTTCTTGCTTCCAAGCAAGCTGGAGCCTCGCATATTCCACATAATTCCATAAAGAAATAATACCAGACGAGTCAGTTATATAAGTTAACCGTTCATGGACGGGTAAAACCAGATCAAAAGCGGGACACATGCAAATATGGATCACAGAACGCAGAAATGATTGACAATAGTACATGCCGAATCAGGAAGCCTAGGCCAACCAGACAAGATTGATCTCAACCAGCAAGAAAATTTTCCAATTGGGCATTCTCTAGTTTCATTAACGAAAGCTTGAAGAACTTTGGACATCGACGGATAGACTACGGACCTGTAATGTCACATGTAATGTCATTAACCACCGAGACCACACACGAAACTTAACACACAGTTCGCAAGGGTCTGGATTACAACTACTAAATAAAGCACAGATCAATTGTATAGTCATCCACTACGATTATGCTACACATTCTCCAAACATTTAGGTTCAAATTTCAACTCCTTTGTTCCAACTGCCACTCCCAACTTACATATAGAGACACAACTACTAGTCGAAGCTCCGGCTCCGGCTCCTGCTGCCACTTGGGCTCCTGCTCCTGGCCGTGTAAGGCGACCTCGACCTCGAGTAGGACCTCTCCCTGTAGCTTCTCTCCCTTGGAGAAATGGACCTATACTTCCTGTCCCTAGGGGATGGTGACCTTCATTGGCCCCATTGAGAAACAACAAAGTAAATCAATGCTTTTCAAGTGTCTGTTTATAAGAGCACAAGGATATGAGAAATGGAGCATGAACACTTAACAAGGGCATACCTAGAGTATCGCCTTCTTCTAGGAGAAGGAGAATAGTACGAAGGGCTCCTGGAGTACCTACTGCGTCCATAACGTGATGAATGCGACCTCCTGAGCTCGCTTTCACGATCCCTGAACATACATACAACGTACGCCGTTTAGTGTTAGTCGGAACACAATCATCACGCCATATGACTACACATGGACACATTGAAGAATTGCAGTAGATAGTATGTGGTTGTTGTTCATACAAACTTTGATTACCTGCCACGGTCTCTGGCCCTCATTTCTGAGGGCTTCTTTCGGTTTTCCTCAGCAAAAACGACTGTTAGTTCCCTCCCAAGTAGAACTTCACCATCCATGTTATACTTAGCTTCAGCAGCATCAGCAGGCTCTACAAACTGGATAAATCCAAATCCACGAGGCTTCCTGTGGCGAACATTTAAGAACACAAGCAAATAAAAGGCTCAAAAACACAAATAAAAGTTATAAGCATGCCAGCCACAACATTGAGAAACTAAGATTGCTTCTGATGTTGAGGAGGACCACTTGACAACCGGAATCCGATTGATTATGCCATTAAAGCAAAATGATTATGCATTTGCTGACCTTGGTCGAGTCAACAATCTAATTGGGCCTTCAACACTTGAACTTCAACCCAACTTCCCTTCAAACTTCCTTTATCTTGATGTACACTATGACCACTGAGAACAGTAGTCTTAATACTTGAATGGTGTCTTCAAGTACTCTTATTACTTCATTCTTGTCTTTCTCTTACTACTTCATTTTGTTGCTTCAACACTTTCAATAAAAACAGCCAAATTCCCATAAACCGGCAATTAATAAGACAAACCCCCAGCATCATCATAGAATGGCGAGAAGGGTTCCCCATGACCAACAGGTCAATATAATCTAAACACAAAGCTTGGACATCACCCCGTCCCGGATGAACAGAAATAACACCAAGATTATACACTTACCCAGTGTAATAGTCACGAGGCAGATATATGTCCTTCAGAGGACCAAACTGGCTAAATGGTCCACGTAAATCTTCAGGGCTGCATAATGGATGGGAGAAAAAGAGAGTAACACATTAGCCAGATCGTTGATATACTCAATTAGCATACATGCATAAGCACATACATCACCACTTCATTTTAAATTCTACTCACATATTCATGCCATTCAAGAACAATCGTAAAGATTCAAAGCATAAAAAAGTGGGTTCACTAGCAAACCTGCAGTCGTGTCGAAGGTTGCGAACAAGGAGACTGGATGGCAGATCCCTGCTGTGACCTCTATAACGTCCCCTAGGGCTAGGACTTCTGTGCCTTCTACCATATCCCCTAGGAGGAGAGGGGCTGTAACTGTAGCTTCTTCCCCTCATTTTTTACTGGACGTCACAATCTACATCCAGAACGAGATGGAAATCAAATAACACACCATACATACAAAAATTACATTGAAAACAATCTAAATATTCCACCCTACATCCTCTCATATCCTAGGAAGAATCATTGTCAACTAAATTCTTAAAATTTCCAATTGATTAGCGCCAGAAGAATATAAAGCTCTGCAAAACGAACCCAATGGAACCGCGAGAAACTCGCATTAAATTAACGTAAAAGTTCTAACCCAAGGATTTGATTCACCACAATATCAAACTTCCGTCCGTTAATTCAATCCGGTGTTCAGAAAATTCCAAGACCCAACCTACCTAGCGGAATTCAAACCCTAGAACAACTTCCGCAGAGATGAATTGAACCGAGTAACCAAACAGACAATCCACGAATAAGAAATACACAGAAAACACAAAAGGAGACGATCATAAATTCGGAGATCGAGAGACTCACCTGGAATTGCGGACTCTATGAAGCTAGCTTCGCCTTCAAGCGCACCAAAACCAATTTCGACGGGTGATCGAGCAAAGAGAAACGAGAGAGACAGGGAAGAGAAGCCCCCTTCTTAATTTAAAGCCTCCTTCTAATTCCAGAAGCTTCAGATCGCTGCTATATCCGTCGTCGTATCAGTCGTTAAAAAACTATTGGCCCATTATATCAAGCCCAATTCATATCGGTAGAGTTTAGCACATAGCCCGGCCCATTTTGTAATTAGTTTAAACCCGCCCGGCCCGCCATAGCTAGGGCGCAGTCTGGTAAACAAAAACCCTTGAAAAACCCATTTTCTTCCTTTCAAGTTCCGTTTTGCAGAAACGAAGAAAAAAATCACCGGCTGGAGCCATAGTCGTTCTTGCCGTTGTACAGAATGGCAGCTCCGTCGTCGAAGAAGAAAGCTCTGAGCAGGAATCCCAAGGAAGCTCCAAAATTTAACAAGGCTTCGAAGAAGGAGTTTAAAGCTAAGAAGAAGGACTCCATCAATGGCGTCCCCAACTCCGAACCAGCCTTGTCTTTGCAGTTAGAAGATGATGTCCCAGACTTTCCTCGAGGTTCTGCCGCTGCTTATTGTTGGTTTCATTCACTGGGCTATAATATGTATTGGTTTTAGAGAGAAACTTGAGTGGAAAGCCCCAAATATGAGCATTTGACTGATAGAATAGAAGTATTGAAAGGCTCTGGATATGTTTTAGTCTGTGGTATTGGTTTGCTCATGTTTGGTTGCTGAGAAACTAATAGGTAATTATTTTGAAGTTTCTTGTTCATTGACGTTTTACTGTAGATTTAGCTAGGTAATGGGGTTTTGGCTGAGGATTAGTTTTACATTCTTAGAAAGCACTTTCGAGGGAGATTAAATTGTTTTCGTTAGATGCTTGTCGATTATGTTATGCTCGTGCTTAAGAGCTATGAGTTGCTATGGTTCTGATATCTATTGACCTCTAGGTGGGGGAAGCTCACTTAGCCAAAAAGAGCGCATTGAGATTCGCTCTGAAGTTGATGCAGAGTTTGAAGCCGGGGAGAAGATGTTTTTCGGAAAGAGTAAGAAGGGTAAGAAGTTGCGAAAGGATCAGTTAGAAGCAGATGATTTTGGTTCACTTTTTGGAGATGGGGTAACTGGGAAGCTACCCCGGTTTGCTAATAAGATCACGACAAAGGTTTGTACTTCTTCTGTTCTATACTTTATTGTTCAGGTACAGGAATTGAATTGTTTGGTTTGCTTTTTTACCATCTTTTTGTGTTACATTATGTTTTTTCATTTGGCAACTGTTTTTACTATACAATTGAATGAATGATGGTAGATGGCTGTGCCACTGAGCTGCTTCCTTTAATATTCTTCTTCCAACATGAATTCTCAGAATATTTCTCCTGGGATGAAGCTTTGGGGAGTAGTCGCTGAAGTAAATGAGAAGGACCTTGTGATTAGTCTGCCCGGGGGCCTGCGTGGATTAGTCCGTAATACCGATGCAGTTGATTCTATTTTGGACGACGAATTTGAGGTTGGATAAGCACTAGTACATGCGCCCACCGAACACACACACACAAAATTTTGTTGTCGTTGCTTTTTTTCATTCTTCTCAATTGATCTGTATGCTTGTCACTCTAGTTTTTCTTAAACCTAACACTGGTTTTTTATTTAATAGGAAAATGATGGTTGTCTTTCCAGTATCTTTCATGTGGGCCAGCTGGTTTCCTGCATTGTATTGCAGTTGGATGATGATAAAAAGGGAAAACGAAAGATCTGGCTTTCTCTGTGCCTTTCATTATTGCACAAGGGGTTATCACTAGATGCAGTTCAGGAAGGGATGGTATGTTAAACTTTGTGATTCTGCTTATAGTTGACATACACGGGACGTAGTTTGTTTCTTTGTTTCCAAAAATAACTTTGTCAACTGAAATTTTGTTCACCCTCAGTTTTTATGTTGGGTGGATTGATCAAATATGTTTGGTGGTTGGTGCCTGGTGTTGTCCCTGCTACTGTGAAAAAGGTGATCAGATAATTGTTCCATTCAGAGTAGCCGAGATTTGGTCACCTTTCCTCAGAAATATGGAAATTTGATTGCATATGTTGCCTAAGTAGGTTCTCTGATACATCTTGGGAAGCATACTATGCCACAATAGAATTGAAGTGACCTTAAACTTTACCTTGGAGTCCCATAAACATTTGAAAGATTGACTTGAAGTTTGTTGCATTCTTCTCATTTGAATTCACTAGAGCTATGGCTCTGGTTTGTATAAGTATGGCTTGTGGAATTTAATATGGGCCTCTTGACTGATTGTATTAATTGTAGGTACTTGCTGCGTATGTGAAAAGCGTAGAAGACCACGGCTACATTCTTCACTTTGGAGTGCCTTCTTTTACAGGATTCCTGCCTAAGAGTACGTAGTGGTCAACGTTGGTGTCTTCTCACTTTCATTTTCCATTTCCATGATGCTCATTGTTGAATATTGGGTCAACTGGTTGGTTTGCGTCTATTAACTTGTTCACGTCTCTTCATGTTGTAATTCCGTCTTTGTGACTACATGCGTGTTTGGTTTTGTGCTTACACAAATTTATCGTGTTCTGGCAATTCGATTGTCCTCTATAAGTCCACATAACTGTGAGTATCTAAGCCATCAGATTATTTTTTTGTTGATTGTTAACTTTTGCTTCTTGCAGAGAGCGATGATGCCAGGGTCGAACCTTGTCAGCTCTTGAAAGGGGTTGTTACTAGGATTGATAAAAATCGGAAAGTCATATATTTGAATTCAGACCAAGCTACGGTATCTAAATCTGTGGTATGGTTTTGTTTCATAAATGTTCCTCCTTGTCTGATCTGCAACATGTTGGTCCTCATTTTTGTGACAAAGGCTATGTTTTCACCAGATGAAGGATGTGAAGGGTATATCAATTGATCTTCTTGTACCAGGAATGATGGTTAGTGCTCGTGTACAGTCAACCCTCGAAAATGGTGTAATGCTATCCTTTCTTACATACTTCACTGGAACTGTAAGTTAGCTTTTTCCTAGCCACGTGTTTCAGAAAACTCAGTCTAGCATAAGTTCCTCAGGTGATAAGTCTTAGTATCCCAACTATGGTTTCACAACCCAAAATTTATGTTATGTAGGTTGATATGTTTCATTTACAAAGTTGTTTTCCAACTACAAATTGGAAAGATGATTACAGCAAGAATAAGAAGGTATTTCATCTAAATCTTTGTCAGCTTTCCTACTCATGACATGCCATTTCTTTTCTCTCTCTCTCTCTTTCAATCTTGGGCAGTAATTGTTGAATCCTAGCAAGAATAAGAAGGTATTTCATCTAAATCTTTGTCAGCTTTCCTACTCATGACATGCCATTTCTTTTCTCTCTCTCTCTCTCTCTCTCTCTCTCTCTCTCTCTCTCTCTCTCTCTCAATCTTGGGCAGTAATTGTTGAATCCTATCCAACTCAGATAACAAATGACTAGCATGCAATCAGTTTCTTTACTGTCTTCCTTTTAAAAAAAAAAAAAAAACTGGTACTATTAGTTGGAAGCTCACCACATTATTACTTTGGACCACTTGTGTTTCACGTACCATTTACTTTACACTTGTTCATGAAAATAATACACCATCTTATTGATGTGCGTGAGAGTATTGTCTAATTTTTGGTTGGCTACTTCCATCTATATGTGCTGCATTATCCAGTTTCTTGTGTTCTTCTCTTATACCTACCTTAATATATTTGACACAGGTTAATGCTCGTATATTATTCATTGATCCGACTACAAGAGCTGTCGGCTTGACACTCAATCGACATCTCATTCATGATACTAATCCTCCATTGGTAAGCCTGTGGGACATAAGTGGGGGTCAGTTTTACCAATGTATGTTTGTGTGTTCAAGCTGGATCAGTAATGTTTTCTTGGATCTCCTTTTGTTGGGTTTAGCCGCTCCGTGAATTACATTACATCGAACGGCATAACATAATAATGAATTTGATATCTTACTAGTAAATTCTCTAACTTGATCCATGAATGAAATGGAGCTCGAAATGAGCCATGGGCTTAAGCTCTATTGGAAATAAGACTAATGGTTGTACTTGTATGGTTTGCAGCTTGTCAAAGTTGGAGACATTTGTGACGAGGCAACCGTGGTCAGGGTTGACAAAAAGATCGGTCTTCTGCTTGAAATCCCCTCTAGCCCAGCATCGATGCCAGCTTTTGTTGGTGTATGTTCATTGTGTTGCATGATTATTCGTTGAAAATCGAGTTCAGTGAAATCATTGTGGTGAGTCAAAAATTTGTGTTGGTTGTAGCTACCTGATGTGGCTGAAGAAGAAGTGCCAAAGCTGGAGAAGAAGTTCAAGGAGCGCAGTGTCGTCCGTGTAAGAATAATAGGGTTTAGGCATTTGGAAGGGCTTGCTACAGGGACTCTGAAGGTGCTTTCTTTACTCATTATATAGAGAGACAAACTTAATTTGACTGTGGTGACTCTAGTTTGTCCAGTGCATGAAGATTTCACCATCAAGTGCATTCTACTTAGTTTAATTATAAAAATTTGCACAAGAGGCCAATATCATATTAGAAATGGTGCCTTAATGAACTTACATGTCCTTTTTTATGTGCACTGTATATAATGCGCTGATGAGGTTGTTTTATGTTTTGAGGTTTTTCTTCTCCATTTTGTGGTTGTAGTCTTTGCCAAGAGTTAAAAATGCGAACACCTAATTTTTTACCCCATGAAAGCAAACACCGTTTATGCCATACCACAGGCCAATTAGTCAAGTGTGAGCTGCAAGAGCTTATCCTTTTCCTGAGCTAAGAGTGGTTTAATTCTAATGAACAGCTTCATTAGCATTGCTCATAAGGCCTGTGAATTGGTTTTTACGTGTGGATGAACCGTCTTAAAGCATTTGAGTCATGTTTTTCTCTTATAATTTTATGGATAATGCAGGCTAGTGCTATTGAAGGCCCTGTTTTTACTCACTCCGAGGTGAAACCAGGAATGGTTGTGAGGGGTAAAATCATAGCAGTCGATAGCTTTGGGGCTATTGTGCAGTTTCCCGGTGGTTTGAAGGCGCTTTGCCCTCTTCAGCACATGTCCGAATTTGAAATTGCGAAACCAAGAAAAAAATTTCAGGTTCTTATGGGCATATGAGTTATGAATGGATATATGTTGTGGTTGTTGATTCATCTTTGTTCATGCTCATGCAGTCACAATTACTCTTCATGCTCATGATATTAAATATGACCTGCCTTCTAATGCAGGTCGGCGGTGAACTGACTTTTCGTGTGCTTGGCTGCAAGTCCAAAAGATTAACCGTGACACACAAGAAAACTCTTGTAGGTTCCTTTTCTATGTCTGCTTGTTTCATGATTTAATTTCTCAAAAACGTACTTTGCTATAGAAACCAGTCTCTGTTAAACTCTACAGTGGATGTTGGTTCCATGATCTTTTCCCTTTCCACGCCATCAGAAGCCAATCTTGTTAATGTCTCTTTGTTCTGTGATTCATGTTCAATATTGAGAAGGTTCACTCAAAAAACCATTTAGTCCTGCAATCTGAATCGGTTTATTCTTATGTGACTCGTTTGACACTTTGACCTCATCTATGGATGTCTAACGGACAATTCCAGGTTTTTGATGGTTGAATAGAGAAACTTTGAATGAAAATTACTGCTCAATTCTGGAATTGCGCTTATGTGAACTGGTGGGAACTTGGTTAGTTTTGCCATTATGGTTCACTTGTTAACAGATCTTTAGCATTGTGAGATAGATGTTTTTGCATTAAATTGAAGTTTTACTCCCATTTGAGTAACCGTTTCCTTATACTTGGTAATTCGTTTTGATTCAGTCATTAGCTTCAATGCCATTTGTTTATGTCCACGCCTTCAGTTGGTCTACCTGTTATCTACTTGTTGCTCTTTGTTTTAATCAGTTCTATTATTCCAGGAAAATTGAGTTCAATGGTAATATAAAAAAATTGTATCCATTCTTCTGCCACTTATATTTTGACTTCATCTGTTAATTATTTGTTTTTCTGTTGACAGGTTAGGTCGAAACTTCCAATCATTAGTTCATATGCAGAAGCAACTGATGGACTTGTTATTCATGGTTGGATAACAAAGATAGAAAAGCATGGATGCTTTGTACACTTTTACAATGGAGTTCAAGGATTTGCCCCAAGGCTAGTTTCGAAACTATATTCATTGGCTTATGAATATTTGTTGTGAAAGATGCAGCACTATGTGTGGATTTTTACAACATTTCCTTGCCTCATTGTGTTTTAATGAGAATTTTGGTTGATCACCACTTAGCTGGACTTTTAACATCAGTGTTGGCCTTAATTGTATATAGGAAGTAGAGATGTCAAATAGGCTGAAACTCATGCTATCAGGACATGCCTTGGTTTTGCGTGTCTTTCCGGTTCATATGAAATGAATGAAGAACTGGTGGTGTTCATGTTTTTATGATAGGCATAGGGTAGATAGCTGGTAGACTATTTGAGTAATATTAGGATATTGGCAGCATTCTTTCAAATAAAAAATTTGATGCGTGGTGCTGTGGTTAGTTGAATAAGTTGCCTCTGGATGATGCTCGCTCTATTGCTGAAAGTGTTTTCGGCGCTCTACTATGTTCGCTTATTCTTTGTGTCCCAATTTATCAAGAAATATTCCATATTTGAAAGGGGACCTCCTCTAACAAATGTCATCTTGTCCCTTTGAATCTCTCCTTTTGTGAATAAAATGGTGCAAGTAGAATGGCACAGGGATGTAGCTATCTATCATCTTCCTAGTCCGTCTCGTTTTTTCTATAGTTCATGTTTCATGTATGTTTATTATTTCACCCTCTTGCTTCTAATTTCCCTTTTATCAAATTTTTATTGGGATTTTTGTTGCTTTTATTACTCTTGCTTATTTGATCATTTAAGCATCTTTGAGGTTGTTTTCTCTGATCTTTACCTCATTCTGACGCAGATCTGAGCTTGGCCTAGAGCCTGGAAGTGAACCAAGTTCAATGTATCATGTTGGCCAGGTTGTCAAATGCAGAATTATCAGCTCTGTTCCTTCCTCTCGTCGAATTAACCTTAGCTTCATGATGAAGGCTACAAGGTGCGCTGCGCATTCATTTGCCTGTCTCCTCCAGTGCCTTAAATCAAACTCAAGTGCTATGTCTAATTGTTATTGTGCTAGTGCCGCTTCTCATTTTTCCTTTGTTTCATGTCTTGTCTTTGTTGCAACGTTAGAAGTTTTTTTTTTGTTAATCTTTGCTTCAGGTTAGATCTGAATCTGTATCATTGCTGAGTAGCTGATCAAGAGCTATTGATAGGAAAGTGTGATTGGGATTAATGACATCTTAATCTTTCTGATTTAAATCAATTGACAGGCTTTCTGAAGAAGATACTGTGAAGCTGGGCAATGTGGTTGCAGGAGTTGTTGAGAAGGTGACTCCATCTGCTGTAGTTGTGAATGTTATTGGGAAGCAGTATGTCAAGGGTATAATTGATACTGAGCATTTGGCTGATCATCATGGTATGCCAATTTTTTTTTCCATGAACACCTCGTGCCAGAGTTTATTGTTTTTTTTCTTTTTGCTTATGTTTGGTCTTTTATTATGCAGAACTGGCTGTCTTGATGAAGTCATTCTTGAAACCTGGACATGAATTTGAGAAACTCTTAGTCCTTGGTATGTAACTCCTATTCCTCTTGTATTTTCGGATGGTACAAGTCTTAATCCTTGTCTTGGATATGCAATATGCATGTCTAGGATTGACTGTACTTTGACATACACATTTGTAGTTATGGTGTAATTACTTTATCGAAATGAAGCTGGTGATTACTTAAATGTTTAACTATTAGCGGTTCATTACAACATAAACTTTGTTGTTTGTTCTCTAATTTCCGCATGTAGCCAATCTCATAAAAGTTTTCTAATTTAGTAATTATTCTTTTGTTATTTACTGTGGAATTTCTTCCTGTTATGCTCTAGATGTTGAAGGCAAAAATATAACTCTCTCCGCAAAATTCTCCCTCATCAATTCAGCAAAGCAGCTTCCTTCTGATATGAGTCAGATTCGTCCTCACTCAACTCTACATGTAAGCATTGGTAGTTTTCTACTGTTTGGTGCCAGAATTATTATCTACTTCTTCAAATGTTAGATACCGCAGGAAAGACATATTGCTCGAAAATGGTGCGGTTGAATGTTACGCTTGTCATATTGTATAGCATGTTTATCCCTTCTCCTTCCTCTCCTTTTGCGTCTCAGGGTTATATTTGCAACATAATTGAAAATGGTTGCTTTGTACGCTTTCTTGGCCACTTGACTGGTTTCTCCCCCAGAAGCAAGGTACCGTCTTCCTGTTTATTTTTTCCCCTCTCTTTAAAGAGAATCTTTATATTGTAATTACGATCTATTTTCCGCTTATCTGTTCACTTCATGGGTAAAGTTGGAAGGGAAAGTTCATGATATCAAGTTTCCATATCACTGAGATATCTGTGTATCTGTCATTTCAGGCCATTGATGATCCCAGTGTTCAGCTTTCAGAAGCTTTCTACATTGGGCAGTCCATCCGTAGTAATATTGTCGAGGTTTCTGAACCGAACCTGAACTGTTAAAGTAGCTATTTTCGGACTAGTAAGTGAGATCTTTGAATTTTATTCTCTCTGACCGTGTTCCCGTATTCCGATTCCCAGGTGAATACTGATACAAATAGAATAAAGTTGTCCTTGAAGCAGTCAATTTGTGCATCAACTGATGCATCCTTTCTTCTGGGATATTTTCTTTCAGAGGATAAGGTAATATGCAGTTTTACATCTCTCTCTGCGTGAGGAGGAGAATTTGACGAAGAAATGTTTTCTTTGTGTTTACTATTCTAGGATGTATCACTCTTTTTAATCTCTTTTTTCTTGCTTTCAGATATCGAAGTTTGAGTCCACCGATGTTAAACGGGCCGACTTGCAATGGGTGGAAGAATTTAAAGTTGGTAGTATTGTTGAAGGAATAATACACGAGTGCAAAGAGTTTGGAGTAGTTGTGAGATTTGACAAACACAGCAATGTTTTTGGTTTTATTACCAATTATCAATGTAAGCTTTTACCACTTATCACCATGTACTTATTCATATATTCAGGTGCTGATTAAGCATGAATTTCATTTACTACAGTAGGTGGGGCAACTTTGGCGACAGGATCGATAATACAAGCTGCTGTTCTAGATGTTGCCAAGAGTGAACGCCTGGTTGACTTAACCTTAAAACCTGAGTTCTTAAAGACATATAGAGAGCAGAGTTCCAGTAGAAAAAGTGAAAAGAAGGTTTGACCTGTTGCTTTACCCTATCTTCATTTATTTTATTCGTGTTAGAATCAGCAATCTTAGATTTTGCATGTTGATTTATTGCCAATTATGTTAGAATCGGATTTCATGTTAGAATAGCTCCTTGATTTATTGCTAATTGTATTTAGCTTTTTGCATGATTTTGCATGCTTTTGTACTCCAGAAACGAAAAAGTGAAGTATACAAAGACTTGGAGGTGAATCAGACAGTTAACGCTGTTGTTGAGATCGTGAAGGAGAATTACTTGGTAAGTGTTGCACTTTTACTTATCCTGCTAATGGATATTGTGAAGTTGCAGAGATTTGTTTCTACTTAAGAATGTGTACTGGATTGACTATATTACTGCTATAAATCTGGTGAATCCATTTTCATCTTGACCCATATTTTCTACTTGAACCAGGTCCTTTCAGTGCCAGACTACAATTACGCTGTAGGTTACGCTTCATTATTGGACTACAATTCTCAGCGACTACCTCGCAAACAAATGCTTAATGGACAGAGGTGAAAATACACTTTGTTGATCAATTCATGATCCATCAGATGTCACTTCAACCTGTGACCTCATGACATGTTTAGCTGATATTCTTGGCCAGTGACTTAATGAGCTTGTCAGATTCTAGGTTCTGACTTGAAATATGATATTGTTTCAGTATTGCAGCCACCGTTGTGGCCCTTCAAAGCCCTTCAACAACTGGCAGGTTGCTTTTTATTCTCAATTCTATCAACCAGATCACTGAAACATCAAATTCGAAAAAAGCCAAAAAGAAGTCGAGCTATAGTGTTGGATCACTTGTTCAAGCAGAGGTGAAGTAACTGCATCATTCTTGTTCTTCGTCTGCTAGACAGGAACATTCGGAACTGGAGTCTTGTGTTTCTTCGTTAGAGTGATCAATCTTGATCCCACTGATAAGTTTTCTCCCTTTGGTACTTTTCTTTAGGTTACTGAAAAGAGGCCCCTTGAAATGAAAGTGAAATTTGGTGTTGGTCTTCGTGGGAGAATCCATATTACAGAGGTGAATTTACTAGTAATCTGCTTTAAACTATGTCGATTAGAGCTTTGTCGTTGCTATCATTTAGAATTTATGATCACTTTTTGTTGTTGGATCATGTTATCCCAGGTTGCTAATGCTGGCCTCTCAGAAGATCTGTTTGGCGACTTCCGAATTGGGCAAACAGTGACTGCTAGGATTGTTGCAAAAGCTGGTCAATCAGAGAATAAGAAGGGCGTGCAGTGGGAACTTTCTACAAAACCTGAAGTGCTGGCAGGTAGAATAATTATGAATATCTTGTGGCTTTTGTTTCAACTTTTGGTGACTTATTTTTTTAGTTGAAGTCAACTTATTCTTGTTTATAAGTTATATTTCATTTTTTTTGTGGAAAGCATTGCTACTAGTTCTTCTAAGAGGCATTTTACTTTTTCCACTACTTACTCTTGTGATTAATCTGATTGCAGATTTAACCGAGCTAAACAACAATCTCATGCTCGAGAATCACGAGTTTTCTTCTGGAGAATGTATTAGTGGCTATGTATACAAAGTAGACAGTGAATGGGCATGGTTAGCTGTATCTCGAAGTGTACAAGCACAGCTTTTCATTTTGGATAGTTCTAGTGAACCTAGTGAACTCAAGGCATTTCAGCAACGTTTTGCTGTGGGCAAGCTGGTCAAGGGGTATGTTTTGACATATAACAGAGAGAAGTCCTTGCTCCGTGTTGGAAACAGTCCTTCGCGTGCACGCAAACAAACTGATGGTTCTCAAGATAACATTACTGCTCATATTCATCAAGGAAATGTGGTAGGGGGCAGAATCACGAGAGTTTTTCCAGGTGTCGGTGGATTGTTTGTGCAAATTGGCCCTCATTTACATGGTAAAGTTCATTTCACTGAACTTAGAGACTCGTGGGTGCCTGACCCTTTGGCTGGATATCACGAAGGGCAATTTGTCAGATGCAAGGTTCTGGAGATTAGCCAATCAGACAAGGGCACTGCTCATATAGATCTCTCACTACGGTCATCTCTTGTTGGCATGCACAGTCACAGTTCATCGGATCCTTCTGAAAATATGTAAGAACGGGGACTAGATAGTTTACCTTCTCTCAATGAGAGATCTCAGGATTCTTTTCTCTTCCCTTGCATCCAAGAGTCTGTAGATAGTTGTCTTTCTACCTTTTTCCTTTTTTCCGTTGTTTGACATTTAAAACTGATATATCTTATGGCCTACAGGGATTCTCCATGCAGGCATGTGGAAAAGATTGGGGATCTTCACCCAAATGATGTTGTTCAGGTAATCTTAATCTTCATCTCAACTTTTCACATGGTGCAGGAATGTGTGTAAAAGTTGCATAAAGTTTCCAGTAGTGTATAAGAAATTAAGAATACCTAAACTTTTCTCTTTTCGTCAATAATTCAATGGCCCTTCATTCATGTTGATTCCATGTCCAGGATTCAGTTGCTGCCACCTAACATTCAGTACTATTTTTTAAACAAATCTCTCCATGCAGATTTGGTTTTCTTTTTAAACAATTTCTTCAAAACATTTTTTTTATGTAAATGGTTGCTTGATGATGCCTTCTATTCTCGGCCATACTTTTGGTGGAGGATTGCTTAGTCTCTGGTTGGTCATATGGTGGCTTCTGATTGCAGGGTTATGTTAAGAGTGTTACTACAAAGGGATGTTTCATTTTGCTTTCAAGGAAGCTTGATGCAAAAATACTTATGTCGAATCTTTCTGATGGATACATTGAGAAACCTGAAGCGGAATTCCCAGTGGGTAAACTTGTTGTTGGAAGGTATGTGTTTCCTATCTCCCCTTCCTGTAGTTATGTTTCATAAAAAATTATAACAGAGCAGTACCTAATAAAGCTCTGAATGCAGAATATTGTCTGTGGAGCCTTTATCAAATCGAATTGAAGTTACTTTGAGGACATCAAACTCTAGAAGTGAGGCAAAATCTCAGAAGAATGATTTGAGCCACCTAAGCGTTGGAGATAAAGTTTCTGGCTTGATTAGGCGGGTGGAATCATATGGATTGTTTATAACACTGAACAACACAAACATAGTAAGCAGTTCCTTGTATATTTTCATGTTGTTGATGGAAATCCACAGGCTTTATTTCCCTTTTCCTTTTGGAAGGCCTCAAATTTCTGCTACCTGCTTGAGATTCTGTGATTGCATGAACATCAGTGTTACCCTCAGTGCAGCAGTTTTGAGTACTGTTCGAGTTCAAGCTGCTAAAAGTTTGTTCTATCCTTGCATAGGTTGGACTGTGTCATGCATCACAGCTTCCAGGTGATCATGTTAGCAACATTCAAAGTAAATATAAAGCTGGAGAGAAGGTTACAGTAAAGATATTGAAGGTAATAAATTTCTTGTAAATTTGATAATAGTTCAAAATACTGTTGCATATATATAACTAAAACCAGACAGCTCTGGTCTTACTGTTTTGTATCTCGCCTGATTTCTTAAACAATTGGTCAATATGTTTGTGATTGCTTTTCTTTTTTAGCCTGAATACTATTATATTTTAGTTATTTATGCCCTTCACTTATTTAAGTTCTGACATTGTTCTCTTAAGACTAAGTCTGTCCTGAATGCTCGAATCTTTCCAGGTGGATGAGGAAAGGTCTCGAATCTCGCTTGGCATGAAAAACTTGGAAACTCAAGGTGACCTTGACAGAAATGGAGATGGATCTGTTGCAGGTGGAGGGGGAGACAGTGATTCAACTGATGATAGTGACTCCAATTTGATAATTGTTCCTGGGAGTAGTTTAGCTGAGAAACAAGATTCGGACTCTGAAGATGGAGGTGAAGAACAAACAATTTTTGCAGAAACATTATCAAGGGCTTCCATTCCTCCATTGGAAGTGAACCTTGATGACATGGAGGAAGATAATGCAGACGATCAGATTTGTCATCAGCAGGAGCACAATGATGAACAAGGCCCTATAGACAAAAAGAAAATGAAAAAAGAAAAAAGTAAAACTAGGGAAGAGAGGTCAGTTGTTGCTTGTGTTCTCTGATTTCATCAAAATGGCCTAATTACTGATCTTGGAAACCTGTGTCTCGGTGAGTAAAAAACTAGACCATGTCTTTTCATTTCTTCAGGGAGAAAGAGATTAGAGCTGCTGAAGAAAGACTGCTGGAGAAGGATATACCAAGAACTGCGGATGAGTTTGAGAAACTCCTTCGAAGCTCTCCTAATAGTAGTTTCATTTGGATAAAGTACATGGCCTTCTTGCTTAACACTGTTGATGTAGAGAAAGCTCGTGCAGTTGCGGAAAGGTACAATCTTGTTCAAAACTGGTTATTTCCATTCATACGGGAAAGACAGAATAATACTCCAGTAATTCTAGACGCCAGTTTATAAAAGAATAAGCATATTATATATCTCAGATAAGCAGGCAGTTTATTTTCCTCAAGCACTGCTTCTATTGTTCCTGAAGTAAATTTCTGACTGCAGCCCATCTCTCTTCTTTATTGCAGGGCTCTGAGAACAATAAGTTTCCGAGAAGAGACTGAGAAGCTCAATATCTGGGTAGCCTACTTCAATTTGGAAAACCAGTATGGAATTCCCCCAGAGGTAGTATGTGACGCAGTTTTTCTTTTTTTGTTGCTCTGCTGTTTGTAAGATCAATCGTCGGGAAACTTAAAAGTTCAAAATAACAACCACAGGAGGCTGTGAAGAAATTGTTCCACCGTGCCCTGCAAGTTTGTGATTCCAAGAAGGTCCACCTGGCACTATTGGGAATGTATGAAAGGACTGAACAGAATGAGCTGGCTGACGAGCTTCTTGACAAAATGCTCAAGAAGTTTAAGCAATCATGCAAGGTTCATATCCAGGAAATCCTTTTCATTGTTTGCATCGATTCATTTCCTAAATTCCTTTGACAATACTCGAACAACACCTTTTTTGTGTAATCTGTAGGTTTGGTTAATTAGAATGCGGAGGGTCATGAACCAAGAAGAAGAAAAGGTTCAGTCAGTAGTACAAAGAGCTATATTGAACCTTCCCCGGCATAAGCACATAAAGTTTATCCGGCAAGCTGCTCTCCTTGAGTTCAAAAATGGGCTTCCTGATAGAGGCCGTAATATGTTTGAAGGAGTTTTGAGGGAGTACCCGAAGAGAACTGACTTGTGGAGCATTTATATAGACCAAGTAAGATTCTTCTTGATGTCTTTCTAATCAAAATAATATTTTTGTGGGTCTCCTTTTGGTACTATGTAACATTTTCCTTTCCATTTGCAGGAAATCAAACTTGGAGATTCAGATGTTATCCGCTCATTGTTCGAGAGAGCAATTACTTTAAGCCTCGCGCCTAAAAAGATGACAGTAAGTCATCATCTCTACCAATTGGCATGACAAATCACTCTTTTGTGGCTTTACCGTTGATCCTTATCTCACCACATTACCTCAATCTGCAGTTCTTGTTCAAGAAATATCTCGAGTATGAGAAGTCTATGGGCGACGAAGAGAAAATTGAGGCTGTGAAGCAGAAAGCACTGGACTATGCGCGATCTGAACTGGTATAGTATAACCACTTCGGTGGGATTTACAAACTCACTGATTCCATCTGCATCAGCAGTACAGGTGTGTTTGAAGTCGAAAATTCTGCTCTTTGTGAAGATGCAGTATCCCAGACGTTTTATTATGATCTGTGCTAAGGCGATTTGAGTATGGAGAATTGTCCAGTGGGATTTTTGCTAGGTTTTTGCCCACATTTCACTGATCTTGTATCGTGTAGAATTTGTATCCTTTACGTACCGGGATCGAGGCCACTGTAAACTAAATTTATTACTTTTCGCCTTCTTATTGATATGTATACATTTTCTGTCCAAGGATTTGGCTGGATGATGAATGGCAGAAGGTCGAGTTCGAAAATCTACCCGTGGTATGCTTTGAGTGTGGAAAAATTGGTCACTCGTCCGAACACTGCCCTCTCCTGCAACCAGCAACGTCACCGGCGGCATTGCCCCTCCTCGGCGGGGCGTCGCCGGAAGCCCAACCGGAGCCACCCGAGGAAAATCCGGGCTACGGGCCGTGGATGTTAGTTAGCCGGAAAAGCCGGCGGATGCCGAGGGATCAAGTTAAGAAAGGAAAGCAAGAGATGGAGGCTGGAATTACGGGATCTGGGAAAGATGGAAAGAATGGTAAAGGGGGAAACATGAATAAGGAAGGAAAGCTCTCCCTTCCCCAGGTTGCTTATAGCAACGGCTCACAATCCCTCCACATCAGTTCACAAGAAAGGAAAGTTGGTAATCCACCATTAATATATTGCACACTTTTGTGTATTTTTTAGGGGATTCAAATTCTCTCCTTTCTCCTTCATTTTCGGTGAGGGTAATTTGGTATTTGTGCCACAGATATTTACCCAGCCGCCCACCCTTACGAAAGATATTCAGCCAGCGCATTCTCCCGTTTCCATTTACCCCATTTTGCATCGGGGATGGCGATCCTTCCCGCAGCAATCCCGAACGCAATCCTTAATCAATTTTAGCCAGAGAAGTGATTTCCATATTCCCTGAGTTCTTATCAGATACATGTACCCTCTGATTTATTTTTCCTTCCCCTTTTTCGAACCCCATCGTCCATCCCCAGGTTCCGTTCTCCCTCCCGCAGCAATGAGCCAATGACGAACACTGATGGAGGAACCCTTTTAGGCTAACGAGGATAACGCTGTTATCCAGGTATTCTTTGCCCGTTACTGTATCTGCATTCTTAACAAAGCAAAATCAAAATCTCTTTTTTCTCACTTGACTAATACGCTTTTCCGATGGCTTTGTTTGTCAACGATTTTACAGGTTTTTTTTTTTTTTGGGATGGGTTCTTCGAGTTCATGTTATCCCGTCTGTTTTTTTTTTCTTCTGGTGAGGGCTTAGAGTTCCCCATTGTCATGAACAGGTATGATTTCTGATTCAAATTGGGCTGGTTCTTTCCGATTAAGGGTTGTACGGGCTGCTACCAGTTCACAGTAATTTATTTTTAGGTAACCAAAGGGACTCTTAATTCCCTTTGTTATGCTATTCATTACTTGGACTATTAATTCCATAGGTACAGGCGTACAGCCTTCTGAATATGACTTTGTTATGCTAGAGCTAGAATATTGGCCCAAGGAGTTCTGATTACCCAGTTTTCACCATCTCTCTTTTTTATTTTATTAAGAATACATGGCCATTCAATCTAGCTATTTTGTACTGTGATATTATTAATGAGATTTTATAACCAACACAAGAATGGATATACACACCAAGATTCTTAGTTCTTAACCTATGCTTTTGCAACATCATTTGACTCCAGAGATTGGTATTTAAGGTAGGACTACACACCTGGCATGCCCATTTCTGTATGCTATCTCCCAAATTTAGGTTCAATGCATGTGCCCTTTTCATAAAGAACTTTTCTTTGTCTTAATGTATTGGATGACTGTATGAACTTGCTTGAGCCTTAACCACTTGACCCTTGGCTAAGGATATGGTAATAACTTTCTCAACCACATTTAAAATTGTATGTTATAAGTAGAAATTGACTATCTTAATGGACGAAACTAGATACACATTTCGGGAATCTGCCCTTGCTTAGTCTTTTATTGGAGGAATTGTAACAGATAGTCTAATTTGTGCTTTGCTGTAGGTTATTTTACTTTCGACTCTTAGTGTAGCTTATCAACCCTCTCTCTGGGCCTAAGATTATACCAAGTATGTATGAGTAGGTGTTCAAGATGGGCCATAGTTGGTTTTAAAGCACGGAATCAATATTCATGATTTCTGTCACTGAACCCTGTTCTAGATCTGTATCCTATGTCTACGAATCTTTGGGTTAAGTCTTGGACTGAGATACCAGCCATTGAAAGCTCTAAGTCAGCCTTTTAGGGAATTTTATTTATCCTGGTTGTTTTATAAACCTTGCCGTTGACCTCTTCCATGTATTTCCCAAGCAGGTCATGAGTAATACTCAACCCTTTCTGTAGAAATTAGTGTGCCGTGCACTTCAAAATTGTTAGCTGGGTGCATAATAAAGTAGTAAATTTCTTTACAGCAACCTGTAAATATGAGTTCCTACGCAACTGTTACATACACAGTAGGCAATCTTAAAGTTCAGTTTAAGGATTATAGACTGTTTCGAAGGAAGTTCAGTCACATGAATCCTATCTTTATGATTTTGTGCTAGAGGTAGGGAGGGCATTACATATTTTCCAGTTCACTGCCTTCACAACCAACTTATTTTTCCTTATAACAGAACAAAATCGTCTATGTTACATGCAAAGTTGTCAAAGTGTTGAATGCTTGGTTTGATGACGGTTGCACCAAATGCCCCTGCAAAGTACAACTTGAAGCAGATAAGTTTACTGTGACAAATGTCAAACTACAAATAGACAAAGCGTGAAAAGGTTTCTCACCTTCCAAATCATTCAGTTCATTTTACCTTCATCTAATCCAATGATGTCTTCCTTTATCCCTAAACTGAACAAACATCAACCTGACTTGACTATCATTCAAATCTGTGTAGGTTTCGAGTTCAACTTTCTGTTCGTGATCCATCAGGTGAGACTGTGTTTGTACTCTTGGATCGTGAAGGCAAAAACTTCTGTTGAATTTCATTTCAAGCACTATATGCTGATAAGGAAAATGATCCAAGTGACATGCCTGCTGCACTGCTAAAAATGGAAGACATGGATATTAACTTTCACATAAAGGCGAAGGAGTTCAATATCAAGAAATCTGCACATCAGTTCACCTGACAATTGAGGATGAGAGCAGTGATGTTTAGGCCATTTTTCCTTCTTCACAACTAAGAAGCATCAATTCAGCTGTCATAAGTGCTGCAGATCTTGCTGATGAGAACTACATGACCATTCTGAATATGCTTGCTGGCAAAACTTATCAATTAATGGTCAAAACTGGTCCATGGAACAACGCCATCAATTATTGTGATTTGGTTATGCCGAAATTATTCTTCGCATTGGGTTAGTGCGAGTGGTTTCATATGGGCGCCATAGTCATAGTCTATGCTTTTATTTTATCTTTTATGGAACACACGTACTGCTTCTGTGTATTGGACTTGGTTAAGAGCATATATGGTATTTAATTATTTGTGGGATAGATCTTTTAAATGCATGCGGATGATCACATTTTAGTATCAGATTTGTCTTTTTCAAAAGGCCACGGCCGCTGTTAATGAAGCCACTATTTGGACGCCTGTCTTCTTTGTATTGGGTATATATACGTTCTTTCTTTTTCTTAACCCTATTGGCCTAGATTCTTAAGGATACCCCACAACCATAGTATCTGTTGTTCATGATTTATTCTTACAATTTGAACTTTGTTCATGATTTATTCTTACCATTTGAACAAGATGGTTGGAGCAGAAAACACAATTAAATACAACTTACATGGATAATGAGAAGGGAAACTGAATTCCAATTTACATATGATTTTCCGTGATGATTAAAACTTGAGAATCTAGGAAATCCCTAAGGACTTCGCAGTTCCAAGCTTATTATCACCCATTGTAAACTCCACCCCATTCATGACGTCGATGTCCATGCATGCTCTAAACCAGTGGCGGATCCAGAATATGATAGAGCAATGTGCCACATTTGAAAGAGGCGGGGAGGACTAAATCATAACCCGACAAGCACTTAAACGAACAAACTAAAATAAAAAATTTACAAAAACTATATAACTCTGAATTCAGGGGCTGGTTCGGGAGCGGCACCCCAAAATCCGCCGCTGCTCTGAAATTATTACGTCTCTCTTCCAGCCAACGGGCTGGACTTAAAGCTAGTGGGAAAAAGGGTGGAAACGATATGCGAAAAGGAAAAGAAAAGATGGGCTCCTCCCAACCCTTAGCTGGAAAAGGCCTTCTCGGGCCGGGCCCTAGTACCGTGATCAGAAATGGACAAGAATTGCAACTGGCCGGTGATGACCAAGAAGCCCAAACCTCGACTAGCGCACAGAGCAAAAAAGGAAAAAAGAACAAAAACGTTGAGATGATGGGCCACGACGGCTTATCGGCCCAGGAAGGAATTTCCCAAGCCCCTGCACCAACCCCTCTCATTCACTCCATCACAGGCCCAAACGGGACAGAGATGCAAATCATCTCAGTCCAGCCAACCGGTGCTTCGTCCGCCGGGATACCCAGGGATGCGACACCTTCAACAATTTCCAGAACGAAGAGAGCAAAGAATTCCAAACCGCGTGGCCGGAAGGGCTCTCCTGCTAAACTCAATCCGACTAGGACTCTCCAAATTTGGTCCCCGGTAAAGGAGAGGAAATCGAAAAGTAAAACTCGATTGGCGTCGCTAACTCTCCAAGAGATCAACGCTTGGACTGAGGCTCGAGGGCATCCCCCTTCGGATACGATTGACCAAACCGCTGCGGGAGACCTAGGCCAACATTCACAAACGGAAATGCTGGAGGGGGAGATGCCCACCTCCACACACTGATTCCCTTTTGGATCCCTTTTCCCCCTGTCTTTCTCCCGTTTTTTTGCTTCCTTTATGTCTAGTAATCATAGCATTAAAATCTTTTCGTGGAATGTCGGTGGTGCAGGTAACATCGCCTTCGTTCGAGCTCTTCGCCTGGCTATCCAGCAGCAGCGGCCGGATTTTGTGATTCTGCTTGAACCGCAAATTAGCGGAGAGTCAGCTAACTCTGTCTGCGATAAGTTGGGTTTCCCCAACTCGATAAGAGTTGAAGCCGAAGGTAGAAAAGGTGGAATCTGGGTGTTTTGGGATGCTGGAATGTTCACAACGCAACTCGTTTCGGCTTGTAATCAGCATATCTCCCTGCGGATATCTCAGAATAATGCGCCTCCCTGGATGCTGACTGCCATCTATG